AATATATAGTAATATATTATAATATTTCTATTAATTAGTTATATTACTTTTTTATTATTTATTAATAAGTAATTAATTTAGCTTTAGTTAATATAAAAATAACCTTCTTTTAAATAGTTAATATACTAGTATAGTTATTTTTAGTAATAGAATTTATAGTATTATTAAGGTTAAGATAATTATATAAAGGTATTTTAACTTCTTTTAACTTAATTATATTATTATTTAATTTAACTTAATAGGTATTAATATAGTTTTAAATATTAGTATTAATATAGAAGATATAGAGTTACTATTAAATCTTAGGCTAGATTTTATATAGTATCTTTTTAAAAATAGTTTTATTATTTATAATTATAACCTTTAGCTAAGGGATATTAAAGGATTATTAGAATTTATTAAGTTAGTTAAAAAGTTACTTATAGCTCTTAAAAATCTTTATATTACTAAGACCTTAACTAAGATTAATAATAAAATATTAGTTAGTTATTTTAATAATCTAGAAAAGATATATTTTAAAATAGTTTATTTTAATATATCTTATTAAACTTAATTATATATAAAAATTACTTTTATATTTTCTTATATTAAAGATAAGTCTAAAATATAATAATAAGCTTATTTTTATTATATTTAATATAATATTAAAGACTTTATTATTAAAGAATTTAAATTTATTATTATATAAAAGTTATATTATTAAATAACTATTTTTTAACTTATTAATAGTTATTATAAATATTTTCATCTATTTAAAAAGGTATTAGCTTTAGGTAAGTAATTTATAAGATATTATTAAATTCTTAAGTAAGTAAAGTCTTTAGCTTTAAAAGCTTTACTTTAAAGACTTATTATTTTTTAGTTTAATAATAATAAATATAATAAATAATAAAATTAAAGAATATAAGGTAATTATAAAAACTAACTTTAAACCTTATATATTTACTAGTTAGCTAGTCTTTTATTTATTTTAATATTAATTTAAAAAAAGTAATTAGTTTTTATAAATCTTATTTTTTAAAAACTATTATCTTAAAAAGCTTAATAATAGTCTTTATTATAAGTAATTTAGTAATAATTAATAATATATTTACTATTAGGCTAAGTAACTTTTATTATTTTACCTTTAATAATTATAGTATTATTTAAATAATAAAAAAGTTATAATATAAAAAAAAGTATATAAAGAGAAAGATAGAGTAATAGTACTAGTAATAGAGGAATTTTAGGGCTAATAGATAAGTCTACTATTACTAGTAGTAGTATAATAAAAGAAGGAAAAAAGAGGAATCTATAATAGTTACTTACTACTAGTCTTAAAGTTAATATAAATAGCTAAATTAGGTAAGTCTAAAAAGGTACTTTAGTTATAGTAGGCGCATACGTAAAAATTAAGGTACTGCGCTAGTGTAGCCTAGGTAGGGCGTCACGTACACCTGTCTACCTAGCAATATAGCACTATCTACCTAGCATTACTCTTTATATATATTTTTATTATATTTTTAATAATTAATTATTACTTTTAGATAAATAATATAATCATTTTCTTATAAGAATAATATTATTTAATAATTAAATAATATCTTATATATCTAAGTATATATGAGATATTATTTTGATATAAGTAATTGAAAATATTTTTGCTTTGCGGCCGCGGGTGTATCCAACACCCAACTCGAAGAGTGGGTGTGTGGCACGTGTACTGTAGAACCTACGTATAGATGTAGGGGAGAGGTTTTAAGGCCTTTTAGTCTAAAATCAACGATTATACATACGTAATTGACCGCGTTTTTAGGCTATCTTTGGTAGTAGAGCTGTTGCAGTAGTCAATTTAAGACCAGCGTGTTATTGTCATGATTAAGATTCTGTCATGCCACGTTGGTGGCTGACTATTAAAGCCCCTGTAATATTTGGAAAAAATGGATTCTGGCCAATAGCTGTGAATAAGTCAAAAGGGGGAGCGTAAACAATACTATCTAGTTGAAAAGCATCTAATCTATCTAAGATCTGGTCTGCTTTGTGGAAAGCTATTAAATACGGAACTCGAGACCCTCCTTTATGGTTTCAATAGCGGTAATCTTACGAGTACAGCTGCTTAATGCTTGACATCGATTTTTTCCCAAGTGATTTTGGCCGAGTGCTGACACTACAGACCTCTTTTTTTTTCTTAAGGATCCGCTGGCAGAAGCAGAACTCGATAAAGAAAAAAAACGAGGCACAACATTTATTGACGGTGCGATCCGAGAGCAATGTCATGACCGTGATGTTCAAACCCTAGGCAATTTTCGACTCTAGGGGAGAAGCCTTAAAACCAGGCAAACAATTGTCCGTCGTCAAATTGGTTTATCCACGCCAGAAGACATGGACTTTCTAGACAAACGCGCACATGATACGCACGCACAATACCCACACATACGCACATAATACACGTGTACATACAAGCATCATAAATGTGTGTACGAGTTACTCCAGATGCTTCGTAAATCCATTGCTGGCTGCCCGATTACTTATTATAGATATCTGACCAGTGCACGCATGGTCAGTAAGTACTTGGCATCATGATTATCTAGAAATACAGGGGAGTATCATGACCGTCTACATACAAAGCTGGCACACCAGTTTTCGACTCGATCTCCTCGACCGGCATCCACCACCGAACGACAATGATAATGGCCGTCCGACATCCCAATACCACGATGCCGAATATCGCCTGGAAGATTGTAGATATTACTTTGAGCAGCAAAACATAAGGTAACGAGTAAGCACTCGAATACGCATCGGCCGAAGAAGATTCTCTGGCACACCCCCCAGCTTCTGTCGTGGGGGTATTGTCCGCGTCCATTGGCTCTTTCCGACATAGTCGTAGCTGTGGTGCAAGCTTTGAGTGCGGTTGGTAACTTTCCAATTGCGAAGTTCCTTGAGCCAATGCAGTCTCCAATATCATCATCGCCTCAGAACACTCCTTCGATTGGGTTTCGTGAGCGGTGGTTGCTACCTTGGGGCGATTCAGCCCTATTGAAAGCATCCCGCCGTCACCACTTGTTTTCTTAACCAAAGCTGTCATGTCAACATCACGCCAACTTGACGCGACGGTGTGTCGATGCCTTCTCCCTCTATTCGTGCCAAGACACTCATTGTTATCTGTTGGCTTCTTATTCGGTCGCACGGGTTTGATTGCTTGATTCGCTTTGGTGATCGCCATTGAATCCCGCTCAAGTGTGATGCTCGTCTGTCCGACGCCCGCGAAAAGAGAGCATGCTGTGTTTTTCGACGAGTCCGAGTCCGGACCCTCCTCTAAGCCCAATGCGTATTGCGTGCAGAGTGTCGGCGGCTTCGGTTCGTCAATCGCTTTGGGATGATCTTCCAACAGAATGCTGAAGTCCACTTTGATGACTTTAATGGTACCTCTGGGAGTTTCAGACCCTTTTGTGACCTTGGACGATTCCATTTCGTGAGACCTATCCTCTTTTTGTATAACTTTGTTGGGGGGTTCTATTTTATGTTTTGTAATCACCTCTTTGATCGAACCCTTCTCGAGAGGTTGGTTGTCGTCGCACACGGTGCTCGATTTAGCTAAGGTTAGCTCTGATGAATAGCTGCGTAGTGATTTCCACGGTCGCCGTTTTTGAACGAAGAGTGGTCTAGACAGAGGTCTTGGAGGAAGTAATATTGGCACTGACTCCTTGAAGGGACAAGGGGTCTTGTCCAGCAGCAGGATAGACGCGAGACAGTCGCGAAGGCTATGACACGGCGAATCTGGAGATGCTATTTCTATTCGCCAGTAGCTTGGGGGACGTATCTGTAGAATGAACTTGCTACCATCGTCTTCCATGCACCAGCACTGGCTTTTGGGCAACATTGGCTGCAAGGCACTTCCACAGCTTAAGAAGGCCACCGAGCCTGGAGCTCGATAAAGTCTCAGAGAACCTAAGTGTACAGTGTAAGCGCAGATTCAAATAAACACTTGATGTCCAAAGCCTTACCAAATGCAATCGTTCTTTCGAAATGGGACTGCCATGGGCCGACTGTATCTCGTTTGCTGCTGTCCAAGCTGTACGTCTGGTCGCTGAGCGCTACCAGAGATATCACCTTCGCATTTGCGTGGCTGTATAAAGAACCAATCTCTTCTTTGACCTTCTCTCCAGAGTGTTGTGTCTTTGTAGGGGGCGGCAGGATCGTTGGTGCCGTTGCGACTCGCCTTTGCAGGAGCCGAGGTTGCTCATGACGCTCCATGAGAATGGTCCCTCCGGGTGCCCTCTCAGGCACGGGCCAAAACGCGCTTCATGGACAGTGTTTGACGGTCATGAAGCCACTGGGCCATTCATTGATGGCAAGGCGTGAAGTCTGACGCTCAACTATATTGGCGAGAAATTAGAGCTAATCAGTGCTATTCAAGACAATTCTTGTCGCAGAAGTTCACTAGTTTAAATAGAAACTTATCTTTTTTTATATTTTATTTATTATAATATTATAATAAATAATATTTATTAATAATTAGTAATATAAGTTAAATACTAATCTATTATTAAAGACTATATCTTATATTATTTATTAGTTAATTAAAGACTATATTTTATATATTATTATTATTATTATATACTAAGTAAAATAGCTTATTTAATATCTTTATAATAGTAAGTTAAAGAAAAACTAGAATACCTAGAGAAAAACCTTAGCTTTTAATTTAAATATAATATAATTTATAAACTATATATATATAAGTCTAGTAAAAAGACCTTTTCTTATATTAGCCTAGTTATCTAAATATAAGAATTATAATAGCTTATTTAGATATATATTACTTTATATTTTTATTATAATAGTCTTAGGTTAAATATAGGCTTTAAATAATATATATTTAAAAGGTAGTAAAAATATATATAATTAATAAAGATTAAAGAAGAAAAAAAGAAAAAAAACTAAAAAAAGTTTAATATTTATATATAATAATTAATAATTTAAATAATTTAATAAATCTTCTTATTATATTATTAATTTAAATATAAAAATTAATAATATTATATTTAAATTAAATGTTTTCTAAGTTAAATATATTATAATTTAAAATTATTAAGATTAGAATATTTTAAAAAATAAAGTAATATATATTAATATTAGATAAAATAAAGAGGTAGAATATATATATAAGAATACTAAAAAGATTATAAAGAAATTAAAGTATTTTAAAGCTACTTAAATATTTAAATATATCTTTTAATAACTATTTTATAGAATTAATTATATTATATTAAAGTTAATACGTTAACTAATAGTAGCTAGGTAGCTATAGTAACTACCTATGTATACCTACACCTATTACTCTACTTAGGTACTATAAGGCTAGGCAGCTACTATAGCTATATAGTTATAAATAGTTTCTTTAATATAAAAGCTACTAAAAATATTAAAATTATATCTTAAGTAATATTAAGTATTTTTACTACTTTATTACTTTAAAAAATTAAAAGTTAAATTTTAGAAAATATTACTAGATTTTATTAAGTATTATTATAAATTTAGAATTTTAAGACTAATAATATTTTTCTTAAATTATATATAAATAATAAAATCATAAAAATAAATATAAAAAATAAAATAATTATGTTAATAATTTATTTATTATTTTTATTTCTAAACTTTTTATTAGACTTAAATAATTTAAAAGTACTTTTTTATTTTAAAAATATAATTTTTTTCTTATATCTTTTTAAATAATTTATAATAACTTTTTATTTTTTATTTTAATAAACTAGATTTTCTAAGGAATTTAATTATTTATCTTATATATAATTTATTAAATAGGTAGATTTAATATAATAATAAATTATCTTCTTATTTATTCTAGTAGTATCTGGTGTGTATCTACGAGGCTATGGTGGCCACCTAGCCCTACAGCACGCAAGCGGAGCGACGGGTGCGGGCAGGTGTACGTCAACTTCTAGGCAGTAGAAGCTTTGTCACGCGCTGGCATTCTCGCGAAGAACTCGTAGCATATTGACAGACAGAACCAAAATAGTAAACAGTCACTATCATCCGAGAGTCATGGACAAAGTCTCGAAGTCACTTGGCGGGACCTCGCGCACGCCCCCAAGTCGGCCTCCAAAATCTAGCACGCTCCTAGATCTTTCGAACTTCGACATCAATGCTGTACTTCGGGGCATGCAGCTCACTCTAGTTGGCGGTACGTGCTATATTTATGAGTGCTTATCTCCCAGTCGAGTTTTGTTGTACTAACGTACTGGTCTTAGCTCATCGAGCGCTTCAGAATCCAGCCATGTTCACCAGCGACCACTACAAGCAGGCGGCGTATGCCGTCGCCATAGGCATCGCAATACGTCTCATTGTGTCCATCCCAGTACGTCTGTGCCTCAGTATGCTTCTTAGACCTTAGCTAATACAGACTCACTTAGATCGCCATTGCTAAGTTGACTATTTGGCTACTTTCCTTATTCGTTTCTTTGGAATCAGTTACATGGGACGACTCGCTCATCAATGGCCTCGATTTCATGGCGGAATATGTATTGCAAATCCCCTTCTTTCTGATGGTACTCATGCGTTATATGGTGCCAACTCTGGATAATCTGTATGGGTTCTGTTTGACGTCTCGTTCTGTACGCGCTGACCAGCTAGATTTATGCAATCCTTACAATGGGTAGATTTGACATATACACAAAAGCATAAGCATGACGACCAGTGTCAACTTCGCGGTCTCTACTATCCGAATTTGAGCCAATATGGTGGACCTTCTGCCGTAAAGCTAAAGAAGACAGACACTTGGATCGCCGTCAATGCCTTCTTGAGCAGATTCGGCCGCAAAGCCTTACTTTCTCTCGCCATCTTTGCGTTGTCGCATGTCCCAGGAATCGGTAAATTCGTACTGCCAGTTGCCAGTTTCTACACTTTCAAACAAGCTGTTGGAACAGGGCCTGCAGTCGTCATATTCGGTGCCGGCATATTCTTACCGCGACGATATCTCGTCATATTTCTGCAGACATACTTCTCATCTCGCAGTTTAATGCGCGAACTTCTGGTACCGTATTTCTCCCGCATACACTTTACAAAGGATGAGAAACGCAATTGGTTCAGGAATCGCGAGGGTGTTTTATTTGGCTTCGGGCTGGGCTTTTATATTCTCACACGCGTTCCCCTCGTAGGGGTCTTGATATATGGAATTGCTGAGGCGTCTACAGCATATCTAGTGACCAAAATCACCGAACCACCACCCCCTGTATCAGAAGCCCGGCAGTACGCCCAGAGTCAGCAGATTTGGAGGAACAAGCATGAAATACTAAGTCTGTCGCTGGCAAATTTGGACAGCCTGCAGACTCATTCTTTCACAAACACTGAACACGCATGAGGCAGTTCAAAGGTTATAACAAGTTTACCTATCTCAATGCTACCAATCCTCAATTACCGAGTAAGACTCGTGGCCTGTATCCTGCGAGTGTCGTCTTGTCGCAACATCCCCCTGCCCCATGAAGTCGCAACCTCGTATATTGCACTTACGAAGTACAGCATCTGTCTGCTTGTCAACGATCTCACTCAACTGAGCGTGGCCTGTTTCTGCGGCATGCCTTTGGCCCTCGGCTTGTCCTGATCCAATCCAAGCACAGTCAGCAATGTCACACTTGAGAAGCAGTCCATCCATGTTTGTGTAGTAATGTGCGCCGTGAAGCTTTCCGACTAACTCCTGAGCTTTAATGAGGACTTCTTCATCTTCTATAGGCCATACAGTTCGGTCCATTTCGATGGGTAGCATAGGAGCCGTGTGAGGATATTCTGAATAACTAAAGGCTATGCGATCGTAGTGAACGCCAGAATATACCAGAATGCACTGGTCACGTTTCCCTTCCCCGAACGATATAGGATTCTGCGTCTTCAGTAGGTCAGATATTGTTCTTTCCGTTCATTAGAGGTGCGGGACACTAGCCTCTACATCGAATGTCCATATTTTTATGTCGAAGATAGAGGAAAGAATGCTCAGCTCTATACCGCCTCCCCATCTATCTGGGTCGACAATGCTCCGACAATATTTGTCAGGAGGTACTCCTAAAATGGCCTCGGAATACACGTCCACGTGCTCTTGGATGTAATCAGACATCATCTGTCGCAGTTTCGATGGTAGCACTTGTTGTGGTAAAGCACCGCCGAATGCAGTGAAGAGACAGCTGTTATCGCTTGGCATTACTCGCAGTACTGTCTTGTCAGTGCCAGTAGTTGGATACTATTTGTGCATCTCTGACTCACGGAGAGTTCCATCTCTAACTTCCCAGGGCACATGGACATCCTGGGGCATCAATGTCTGTCTGCGATGAATTTCGGGTTCAAGAATCCCCGTCTCGCCAGCGAATTGTTTTGTAGGTGACGAGCGCGCGTCATGCGGCACAATAGTCAGCGTCTCTCCATGAAGTCCGAGCTTCTTTGCCAACTGATCGAGATCACTCATATCCAGAGTTTTCATTGCAGTAGGCTGTCCGAATTTGATACCAAAGTTACTGAGAGAGGTTTTAGATGCCAACTCCTGCACCACATCTGCTAACGTAGCATCGTCCCCCAGCGTGATGATGCCAGTTCCACCTGGCCACTTGTAACGAACTTTCATATTGAGTTCTCAGAGTTGAAGCCGGGTGAAGAAAGAGTAAAATGGATGCTGTGGTTCTGTGTGTCTGTGTGGCATCAGGATCTGACAAACAAGATTCGGGGGTGTTGTCTTGATTTGAATCAAACACAAGTTGCCATGTTGTTCGCCTCACTAACCTATTTATTACCTTCCCAGACTCAGACCGCGTGACGGGAATTATTCTTGTCTGGAGTGACATTGCCACACTGGTGGCAATCAGAGGCCTGAAAGTGGGTTACATAATCACCTCTCCTCCGCATGTCGCTTGGGAGTTTGACACGCTTCCCAACTTCGCTTTCAACACGTCCAACTTCAGCCACGCGACATACGCCGCTATTATCTGATGCTTCGATCTCATTTCCCACCACGCTAGTAGATAACTCGAAACCCTTTCAATCTGCTACTTGGTCAAGCTCTTCAAATGTCTAGCAGGCGCAGCTCCGCGTTTGCGCGGCGCAAATCTGCGACTCCACAAAGCGACGACGATGTAGACATGATAACCAACAGTCCGGATGGAGTTGAAAGTGATGCGGAAGGCGAAATGATCGTTGACGGGCGCGACGATTTGTACGAACTGATTGATCGGCTATCCACGTCTTTGTCCACGATCTCTGAAGAGTAAGTAGCAATGCAAAAGAGTCTTGAATCATAGCTAATGGACTACCAGTGGCGAAGAACTTGCCGCAGGCTTTCAGCGCATTCCGAGCCGCCGAACTGTGCCGGATTATTTCGAAATCATATCGAATCCAGTGGCATTCAGCACTGTTAGGGTATGCATGAACTATCACAAACAATGACGCGAGTCTAAATGCGGACAGGGCAAGATACAAAAAAAACAATACGCGAACTTCACAGAATTTGTCAAAGACGTCGCACAAATCTTTCACAATGCGCAAGTTTATAACCGTCCGTCGGCACCTATCTTCAACGCCGCGATCAAACTGCAAGGATTCTTCAAGGAAGAGTTGCACAAGCTTGTTCAATCTTCACAAATTACCAAAGAAGAGGCCGCTCTGCCCGATCTTGGTGAACTGCCTCCTGTGGAAGATTCTCCACTTCAAGATCCGGAGGCGGAGAACTTGAATCATGATGATAATGTGGACGACGACCAAGCAGAAGAAGAAGACGACGACGATGGCGACGATGACGACGACGATGGCGGCGACGACGACGACGACGATGATGAATATGGTGCTAGTGCTAGTAGGCGTCGTAAACGCAGGCTCCAACGGTCATCCGCTAAAGGTCGCAATGTTGACATAGACGAGGATGCTCACAAAGGAAGAGGGCGTCCTCCAATGGTTCTTACACCAGTCGAGGCTCGCATCTCGTCGATTCTCAAGGGCGTTCGGCGGCTCAAGGCAAGTGATGGTGCCTTGCTCGTCACACCATTCGAAAAACTTCCTGACAGAGCGGCGCTACCGGACTATTATCAAACAATTCTGAATCCAATTGCTCTCGACAACATCAAAAAGAAAGCCAAGCGCAAGAAGTACAACAGTGTTGACAGATTCCTCGACGATATGAATATGATGTTTGAGAACGCGAAAGCATACAATGAAGATCAAAGCGAGGTATACAAAGCTGCCGCTGAATTACAAAAGGAAACTCAGACTTTGGCCGAGCAAGAGAAAGCTAAGTCAGATGATGAATTTCGTGACGAGAATGGAAAGCTACCAGTAGCCCTCATCGAGCAGGATGCGAACGTCTGGAGAGTTGGTAAGTGATGTGAGTTGGTGTGCGCAAGAAGTCATTTATTCACATAGAACAGGGGACTGGGTTCATATCCGCAACCCAAACGACCTCGCGAAACCCACAGTTGGCCAGATCTTCCGCATGTGGCAAGATCGCGAAGGAGAAAAATGGATCAATGCATGCTGGTACTATCGGCCTGAGCAAACTGTTCATCGCTTTGAGAAGCATTTCTTCGAGCACGAGGTTGTTAAGACAGGGCAATACCGCGACCACCAAATTGGCGAGGTCGTGGATCGTTGCTTCGTTATGTTCGTGACACGATTCAACAAAGGCCGGCCGCGCGGCCTTCCTGCTGATAAGCATGTTTACGTGTGCGAATCCCGATACAACGAGGAAAATTTTCGCTTTAACAAGATCAAGACCTGGGCAAGCTGTGTTCCAGACGAAGTAAGAGACCGCGACTACGAAATGGATCTTTTCGATGGGCCCCGTCGGATGAAAAAAGTGCCCAGTCCAATTAAACATCTTTTGCGCGAGGACGCAAAGGTCTCAGATGAGCTTCCACGTCCGACTTGGGGCAGTCCGAACGCGCCGCCGATTGTTGGCGCTGTGCATCGTCGGCCGCCAGAATCGCATGTAAGTGCTCAATTCCTCCAATTCAACCTTGGCTCGTAATAGTTGATATCAGACATTAACTAACAACTCAAAGGAAACGCCACCACCTGATTCCTCTTCGATGAACCCTGCTGCTTCTGTTGAGAGCCAGCTCGATCCAGCTCGTCGGAACTCAGCGGTTTCTCAGGGAAGGGACGTGCCCGCAGACCATCAAGTCTCGGGCGATGCTTCTTATAGTTCTGTTCTCGGGCCCGCATCTCCTGGTCACGATCACACACAAACGATGGATGTCCAGCCGAGTACACCTCAGCTAGGAGCGCATCCTCCGCATCAGACGCCAGTGCCTCTTCCGCAGATACCAGCGCATGCAACCTCGGCACGCCCCGCACAGTACATGCAGCAGCATCAATCTGGTTTTGCGCCAGGCTACCCAGGCAGTTATTCCCAGACTTCAGCCGTCATGCGCTATCAGCAGGTCGGAAACCCCACCACGCCAGGGTACAATATAGCCCCCGGCTCGCGGAATATCGCTACTCAGCCTCAGCCAGGTAACCACAACAATGCCTATAATCCACCCCGCCCGCCAGAGGTCTACACACTCCCAGACAGCACAAACGAAGCTTTGCCGTTTCAGATTCGAGCCCAGCTTCAACGTGACAATGCCGGAAGGGTCCTTTTCTTCACTGCACCACCCTCAGATCGCCCTCGTCATCAGTTATCTCCTGAGGACAGCGGCCTAGGACATAGCCTCCGGTATATCGCAGGGCGTGAAGATTGGCGAACACAGAGAGAGAATAAGCGAAAAGCACGCGACCAAGCAGCTTTGCAGAGCACTTCAAAACGCATTGGTTCGAGTGTTGACTTAACAGATGGACGCCTCGCTTCGGAGGCCAGGGACGCTGTAGACCAGTGGTTCCGGCAAATTGGTCAGGACACGGAAAAATGGAAGCAAGAGGCTGGTCTCAGCAATTGATTTCCGGTTTCATATGCTTGATATATGATGGATACGGATACCAATGACCTTAAAACATAGTTCGCGCAATAGTTCTCTGGATATACGTCTCATGAGCATAAATGGCTTTTCTGTACGAATTACGCTGCCATACAATCTAAGTATGCTCTGCGACCTCTTCATCACGGAATCTGCCCTCTCCGAACTTGTACATAAGACCTTCGTAGACAGCCCATTGTGCGGCATTGACAATGAAGGCTCTTATACTGCACACTGTAAGGCCGCGAAAGAAAGGCATTGTGCCGTTTTCGCGGAACGTATCCTTGGCTATTAGCCAGGCGCCTTTTCGTCCCGGTTGCACCGTCTCCTGGATTGTGTCCCGACATCGTATCGCCATTTGAGTCTGGAGTCTTGTCTTGATCACATCAAGTGGAAATACACTTGCCCAGGTAACGATTCCCGCCAGGCCACCGCAGAGCATTACTCGAGGGGCTTCGTTCCTGATGGAAAGACCTTTTCGACCATCCGGCATCGGCCAACTTCGAATTGCGAGCTCATAGGACCAGAAGTAAAATCCATATCCGATGCTGTCTCGAAGTGCGGTGACAAGGCCGCCGAAATAGAGGCCCCTGATTCCCTCCTTGCGCCAGATATCCTTAGCAATGTTGAAGCTAGAATTCGCCGTCGGCAGTGCAATTTGAGCCCTGCATTTGACCAACTCTGTTGGGGCACTGACTACCCATGTCGCAAGGCCAGCAACAGCGCCAGCCACCCAAGTTATGCCGAGACTCAGTTCTGATCCCGTAGCGCGGCGGAGTACTGATTTAGTGTGGCTGTATGATGCGAACAGGAGAGCATTCAGTGCGCCGTAACCGAGAAGCGGCGCTGCAGAGCCAGCCAGTAGCGATTTGGTATTGTGGAAAGTAAGCATTGTGCTGTCTGCATGCTGGGTCTGTTGACGGAGTTTCAGAATATCAAGTGGATTGCCGACGATGATCCCTACAGCGCCGCTCACATAGCCGGCCCAAAAATCGGTAGACATAAGTAACCAATGAGAGCCAGCAGAACCTCGCTACACAAATTGCCTGTATGAAAGCCGGCCTCCGACTGCAGGAAATTGTGGTAGGACAGAATGGGATAGATCGATTGGAATTGGAGTCAATTGCTCTGATGTGGGTGCAATTCATGAGAGAGTGGTGGATTACCTAATCCGTACAAGCTCAGAAATTGGCTTACTCGTAATAAGCGAGGTACTTTTCATATACATAATAGGAGGCACCTAAAGATATACTACACGTGCTACACACCTACTCTTAAAGCTAGTTATTATATATACTAGCAGCTACTATATACTTATAGCTACCTTTTTTAATATAATAACTTTAATATATAATATAGTTAATAAGTAAATAAGCTAGATAAGTAAGTAAGTTACTCTACCTAACCTTTTATCTTTTAACTATTAATAATTTAATTATAATATAAAATAATATTTAAAACTAATTAAAATCTTCTTCTTTATTAGTTTTTATAATTATAATATAAAAAATATATTATATTTAATTTAATTA